TTTGTCCGCGGACATCATGATCTGTTCCGAGAAACGAACAGTTTTCCGAAAGCGAAGCTCGAGGAAGACTGTGAGCTTTGAGGAACGGATAGTGTCCGCGGGCAAATAACGGAGCATATTTTCGCGCCATATGGAGGCTATTGTGATTATTATCCTTCAAATATTTTTTGCAACACGCGCGGTTTTGTTCGAAGATTGAAGAATATCATTCGGCAAGAGACCATGAGTTCAGTCATGTGACGCGTTTAGACCAATCGCGTGCGAGGGAAAATATTTCTTGGATATTTATAATGGCTGATAATCACCACGAGAGGATGAAGAGAAAAGAAGAGTGAGGTCTTCATATAGACCTTATTTTCAAGGTTATCCTTTTCGGTATCCCTCATGAACCCAGTTCTTCCCCGGATAATGTTACCATGCGTGAATATTTTCGTGAAGGATTAAAATCCATGTTAAGTCTGTTAAACCGCTTGAGCTGGTCACGTGAGCAAAAGCCCCGTCACAAGATTGGCAATTTCTAGACCCTCCTGGGATTTCTGAAACTGAAAGTGATATAAAAACAGCTTTAGAGGCAGTAAGGCCTATCGGATCACAGCCAAACGTAATCAAAGGGAGAAGGTTGGAGGGACGTGAGGGCGATTACGCCTCTCGTTTTCTCCTAGCCCCATCAGGCGTTTAGTTAGTTGGGGCGCAGTGCGAAAAACGGCGAGCGAAAAAATGGGCGAGAAGCGCGGCGAGAGAAAGCGAAAAAAATCATTCTTTCGCTTTCTCTCGCCGCGCATCTCCCTATTTTTTCGCTTGACTCTTGATATTGGCCACTCCTGAAACTATTCAAGTTGGTGTGATACAAACAGAGGCTTAAACTCAATGTCGACTTTGCGCTCAAACCAAAACGCACTTTTTTTTCCCGTCACTGAACTTCGCCGTTATAAAGGGAAGTCACGCAACTCTTCTCCCCACGTGGAGAAGCACTGCGTGACAACCATAAAAGCGGCTGCGAAGGAGGCCCAGATCGCAGCTTTTCACAGGATATTATTGTGACCCCCTATATTTTGTCAGGTTGCCCAGTATACAGCTGTTGAGCCAGTTTTGTCTTTTCTACAGAGGTATATAAGGTCAAATACAATGCTGAAAGGTATTGCGGGTGTTGGTAGTTCATAGCGTCTCAGCGTAGTGAAAGGAGAAATCCTTGGTTATATAGTTGGAGTAATTGAATCTAATACGCCCTCTTATTGGTTGATATGGTTAAGTGGCAATCGCTAAATCTTTATGCCTCCCAGTGGGCAACAATTAAGCAATAAGCTCTCAGCTCTTCCACTAACGATTACTTTGCCTTCATCTTGCCTTATGACTTTACACCAGCTATATAACAAGACACCTAATTTCTGGCCTGTTGTGAAACAGTTAGTTTTGTTTTCCCGAGAATCCAGGCGTGGATCCAGGATTTTTCTTAGCAGGGGATGCACCACTAAGGAATGGCATAATTGACTGGTGAGGTAAACAAATTTTAAAAGTGAAAACGAAGAAGGCTATATCTCAGGGGGTGAGGGGTGCACACTCCCTGCACCCTCCCCCTAGATCTTTCCCTGGACTCTCTCTGTTTCCCGAGACTTTGTCTTCAATCAAGCAAGAGCAGACAACCGCTACCTGTGATACCTTTCAACACTATCACAACGTTCCTGGAAAATTTGTTTTCATCTTTTCTGCTTCTAAATAATGTTGTCACCACAACATGACATGTTAGGATCAACTCAATGAACTATTCAGGATAGGTCACAATGACATAACCTGGCAAATGTGATGCCCCCCAACACCTCCCTGCTTCATGTCCCACCAAGGTAATGAGACCCCAAGGGTTGCCCCCTAAGGTTAAGAGGGAATCCACCAGAAGTTTGAGTAACTAGTGGACAAAAACTTAGTACCAACGTTATCTACATTGTATTGCAACCTTCTACGTGACTGTTTTAAATATCTTCTCAAAAGAAATCATTTCTAACAATACCAAATGTCAATAACAAAATTAATGTTGAAGTTCATATGAAACACTTGAAAGTACTAGTGAAATGAAAATGGTGAAATTTTACCTATGTTTGCTCAATTTCTCTGAACTTTGAAATTTATTTACTCAACTTCCCATAGGAAATTGTTTTCGGTGTTATTTCAGGCAAATATTTAAATCCTTAGCTTTCAGAAAATGAAAAAAGGACTGTGATATACTTAAAATTATATACTTAAAATTATTTTGGTACAAGGTTTTTGTCCACTAAAAGTTGAAATTGCTCAATTTCCGATCGGATTTCCTCTTAAACAATTATGAACCAGTCATCCACCACATAAAATGTTTTAACATTTAATTTTCTACTTTTCACAGAAATTATCTCTTAATAAACTGTTTTAAGTCAAGGAGAACAACATTAAGTATTTACACAACATGCAGGTTTATGTTTAAACCTTGACCAACACTTGCAAATACATAATCATTTTTAAATCTTTTTGTCACAACTATAAAAATAAATCAGCGGGGGAGGGGGTGAAACCCCTTCCTTAGGTTTAAGGCCCAGTGGAGTAAATTTACATTGAGTACTAATTTATGTGGATGTTTATTTAGTTTTAAATTTTACTCCTATAACAGCATTACAACCGTGTTGCTTAATATATGTACACAAAACAACCTATATTTACAAAACTTTTGTTCTAAGTGATAATATTGGAGTTTTAACCGCTGTTAATAAAGGGTAGATGATGATGTATCGAACTGTTTGTCTGTTATTAAAAACATTTATTTGAGATTCGTGGCTTCATTTTAATATTTACAATATTTTTACCTTAAGAGCAAGAACAATACGTGTACTGAATTCATGGGCAAGGAGGAAAGTCAACAACAAGACAAAACCACTTTTGAAAAAAATTCCTTTGAGCAGGATAATTTGGAAAACTATTCTCAGTCATAAGTAATTTTTTGACAAAAGAGGTACAGCGTCAATTCTATAATTCCTTTCAATCACTAAAATTTCCTGTCATGTTCTTCAAAACTTCCAGAACAGACATCCACATCACGAAAATATAATTCATTATCAAGTACCAAAATCCAACCTTGCAAGGGAAACCCCCAGTGGAGAGATTCCCATATTAAAAGGGATGGGGGCACTTGTCATACCTTTTAGGGGTTAAAAAGATGTTTTAGTTCCACTTACAATGTTCAGCTTCAAAAGGTCCTCAGTGGGAGCTTTTGTGGCCCCTTTTAGGCAGGAGCCCAGGAGCCCCTCCTGCTTTTAGGGTATTGAACCGAAAAAATATGACAGGAGATGATATGTTGTTTACAATTGCTAGCTCTTAGGGGTTCTTTTCAAAATTTCCAACGAGCACCCCCGCCCTTTTTACATGGGAATCCACTCCCCCTGGGGAGGAAACCTTGCAAGGTTGATCTTTCAAAAGTACTCGACAAGTATAAGAACTTGAGTCTAACCTAAAGTTCATGTGGATGAAACCATTGTGTGTCAACTATCTATCATCTACTATCAGCCATCAGTAATAAGTAGCTGGAGGTCATCTCCAAAGAAGAGAAGTTTTCTCATTTCTCCTAAGTTTCTGAGCAAGATTAAAGAATACTGAGAAGACTAAAACAAGAAAATTTACTATTACAAGACTAAAAAACCTCAGAATTGTTGAATGAACTAATGAGCATGTGTGTACAGGTGCAACATTAAAAATAATGAGTACTTAGTCTGTGCACGATTTTGCAACAGAATGAAGTTTAACACTTCTCAATAAACAGTATGAAGAGAAATAGCTTGAAACTATTACTTGAACTGGAAATTTAGAATTCTTCAAAAGCAATATTACATTATTGGGTTTTGAATTCTACAAAGCTAATAATGTAATTGTTTATTACCCCAATATCGACTTAGGTAATACATTTTTCTGTAACACAATGTCAACATCAGTTTTTCACTGCTGTAAACTTGATGCAAGAGGAGCCTTTGGTAGTCCATAAAAACTAACTCTTGTTATTACATTTCTTCTGAAAAAGTTGCTTGCTGCTATTTCAGATTTCAATCGCTTTTTGTTTAGACCTCAGCGAATGCAAAATGAAAGTTGACCAAATATAATTTAACCTTTAGCTGTGACCTTATATTACTTTTTAGTACAAATCTACTAGTGTTCTATCATGAATGCCATTCTCTTATTGGCTACCTGAATCACTATCTATTCTGTTGTAGATACTGAGGAGCCTAGCAGTGGGTGCTTGTTAACAAAATGGCGACCACTTCTCAGCATTTTTGAAGTGTCTGCGAAGAGGATTTAGATTAGGTTTTGAATGACTGGTTGATTTACACGAAAACATTGAGATTACACACTCTTGATTTCTATGAATCATAGCTGACTTGAGCTGCACTCCATCAACTATCACATGATAAAAATCTTGAGCTCATGATCTAATTGTTAAATAGAACAACCCAAGCTTTCCAAAAATATTCCTAAAAAACTGATGGCAAAAAAAAAAAAAAAAATGCCCGAGAAAGATAAACCTTGAGATAAACATTTGCAGTGATGACTTTATTTCTTGAAGAAAGTTATAGTTCAGTTGTACAATATACACTGTACAACTTGGTTTCAAATCTTGTCATATTTTCTACAAGAGAAATATTAAAACCAGAACAAGTATATGAAATTCCAGTGTCTCAGAAACTAAGACCTAGGAACTAAGACCTTGTTGTTGAGATTTGGAGGGGGTCCTAGGTCTGAGTTTTTGGGATTCACAGGGGGTCTACGGTCTTAGTTTTTGCGATTTGGAGAGGGTCTTAGTTCTTGGTGCTTAGTTTTTGAGACACCCTGTGAAATTCTGAAAACTAAACATTATTCATGAAATATTATTTCATCCTAGACATGAAGTAGATTAAATGGTTTTATAATATTGCATCATTTGATTTCTTTCAATAATCGCTTCATATTTGGCATCACAAATGCCTCTTACCTGGAGCGTCCTCTATAACATATTTTACAATATTCCTAATAAAAATCTACCATTTTCCATTTGATTTTAAATATACACAGTTGGAAAACGTGAATAAATGAAGAGCAATATTTTTAAATTTATTTCTCTTAACTAATGAATCTTTATGTAATTCATCTGATTACCCTTCACTTTTGTCTAATATATAATATGTGTGCATATAAATTAATGTACAAGTACATTACTGGCTTCCACTGCAGTCTCAGTCAATAATAGTTTCCTAAAAAAATGAAAAGAAAACCAAAACTTTAGTGTAGGTCAGTAAGTGGAAGGTAATACAGTCGAACCTCCCGTACGTGACCACCCAAAATGCTATGCCTGTGTGGTCCCTTATGGGAGGTGATCACTTACGAGAGCTAAGTCAACCATATTCAATTAAAATTTTGCCTCATTAGCATATGGTAACTGCAGAGACTTACCCCATGTTTTACCCCTCTTATTCACGTGAAAAATCGGTTTTGGGAAAAACTCTGTTACTTCTCATTAAGAAATTTCCGTCTCTTGTACTACCCAGGAAAGCAATAATGTCATAACACTTACTACGATTATCAGTTGAGTAAGGCGGGATGAATGTTTGGTCACCAAGTTGGTCACCAAGTTTGGTTTCCGTTGGTAACAACATCAACAGCCGTCGGTCGCCTGTCGCGTCGCCTACAATTTCGCACGCTTTGCTGCTAATTGACGTCAAAGCCGGACAAGTTGCCAACGGATACGGAGCCAGTTGCTCGTGACAACAACACGATTTTTACGTTAAAACTTGGTGACCAAACTTTCGTCCCGCCTTACTCAACTGATAATCGTAGTACGTGAGGTTAAAAACAAAAGAAAAATTTCAAACTTTTAGCTCTAAAAGTGGTCGCGGTCGCTTGCGGGAGATGGTCGCTTACAAGAGGTTCCAAATATAGTGATTTGACTGGGAAACTTTTGGAGGTGGTTTCAACCAGAGGTTCAACTATATGAAAAGAACGGGGCTTACATTGTACCCCTTCACTTAGCTAACAGAGATTTTCACAGTCTGTTCTCAGTAAAATGGAATTCTCCAAACTAAAACCAAAGGAATATGTAGAGTTCGGTTGAGAGAAACTGGAGTATATGCTATCATTTGAAATAAGAGAAAACCTATTTCACCTGTGTACTGAGAATATAACACCACAGAAAAAGCTCATATAAATAATCACATTTTCAGTACTGACACCATCTTTTCAATATTTGTAGGACACAAAAATACCTCTTAAAAAACTCAAATTGTTAGTTACATACCCCAATGTAAAAAGACCGTTCTGCCTGAGAGACCAAGGCTAGTGGATTTTGCGGTCAGGTTACCAGATCCTATTCTTTACTTGCACAATGAACAAGTGAAGTTTTTTGGTGTAAAATATAGGAAAATTTGAATTACAGAATTGCTATAAGAGGTCAAAGAATTGTCTTAATATTAATTTTTATTTAATTAATTAATTAATTAGACTGTCGGGCTGGTAGATACCCCACAAAGTCTTTTGCACATCCCTTTCACAGCAGGTCTCTGAGAAGTTCCCAGAACAAAAATACAGCTGTATGTTTTGGTTTGATTTGTGCTACAAAGTGTTCCATGATAAAAGGTGCCAGAAAAAGAAAGAAAGAAAGAATGAAAGAAAACAAACCCTGATTCCATCGCAGTTATAAGATCCACTTTCAGACATTGGATCCTGCAACAGGAAAATTGTACAATTAATTAACTCCACACATCAGTGAATCTATAACCAGTTGCATGATTTCTTGCATTGGTTTCATTATGAGATCAGACTCATTTCTGTTTCTGGGTCGAGAGTAGTTTCATTGCTTGCTACAAGACTATTTCTGTCACTGGGTCTAAAATTTGAGTTTAAAATTACTTTTGTCAAAGGGGTCAGCTTTGTTTTTATGTTGGGTTCAAAATTATTTTTATTACAGGGGCCAGAGTTCTTCAGCTGCCAAGTTCAAACTTATTTTCATTGCAGGGGTCAGACAGGTTTTGTTGCCGATGGAAAATTTATTTTAATTTTCTTCTGCAGGGGTCAGACTAGAGATTATGTGTTTTTGGGTTAAAAACTATTTTCTCAAGAGGTCAGAGTTCTTTCTTTGTTGCAGGGATCACAGTTGTTTGGTTTCTGAGTTCAAAATTACTTTTGTTGCAGGGATCACAATATTGATTTGATGCAGGTACTTTTCTGCTTGATTACAAAAACAAATTATTACTACTAATAGCAAATTAAATATAAAATGAACTGCTGGTAAATCTAAATTATAGTTCAACATTAAAATAATACTTATGGCCTTTCACACTTTGTCATGAAACAAAGGAATTATCAGTTAAGCTATTATTTCTGTTTTGAACAAAGCAAACATAGGATACCCTCAGCATTTCTTGACCCATTTTTCCTTGAAAATGGAGCGCAAATTAACGGAACAAATACAGGACACTGGTTTTCAATTTAACTGAAGGTTACATGCAAAAATTCAGACACTTCTGAACAAAACAAAATTGACCTAAAATGGTACAAACTTCCATTTTGCACCAATACCTTCAATTATTGTAACAAATTTGAAGGCTGCAACATCGCAATGATACATACCGTTCTCCTTCCAGTGAGGAGGTATGTGGTGATATGACCTTTGCCTTTCACTGGAATGGTTCCGCGACGTTCAAATGTGAAGAATTCATCAAGAAGTTTCTTTGATGCCTCACTGACCTGTATTCTGCCCTTAACCCCAGTTGAGTCCATTCTACTTGCGATATTCACAGTGTCGCCCCATATGTCATAAAGAAGCTTTGTCGAGCCAATCACACCAGCAGTAACGGGTCCAGCGTTGAAACCCACCCGTAAGAGAAACTCGAATCCGAGCATGTGCTCGTTAAATCTGTCTACTACCTTGATCATTCCCAGGGCAAATTCAACAAGCTGCTTCAAATGGTCATAAGGATGGGTATCCTTTTTAACACAACCTTCTGGGTAAAGACCCGCTCCAGCCATGAAGGTTGATCCGTTGACTGTCTTGATTTTCTCAACTTGGCTGAACTGAGTTTTATCTGACAGAAGATCATCAAAGTCACCAACAAGTTCATTCAAGACTCTGATGCACTCCTTGCCTCCTTCAAAGTTCTCCTCGTAGAAGTCTGAAAAGTTCACTATTGATGCAAAAATTACTCCAACATTCTCATAATTGCGAGAATAATGACTTGACAGTTTCAGTGCATCTGCAACGTGTTTGGGAAAGATGCTTTCCAGCAGCCAAGCAGCTTGCTCTTTGTGAGTTTGTGCTTTGCGTTTGTCTTTTGCGGCTTCCTCATCTCCACTGAAGTTACGGCGCACACTCATTTCTAGCTGACGGTTTAATACACACACAAACACCAGGAGTAAACCAATGCATATCATAATTTCGGGGCCTAAACGGCCATTTTTCCGCAGTACTTCATCAGGAGTGCCCTCAACAACTGGTTGAAATGCACAAAAGTTATCATAATTTAGGAAAATAATGTAGGCAATAGAAAACACAGCTGCAAGTCCAGTCTTCATCCATGATGTGAGTTGAGTGAAATTAGAGAAATGTAGCAACGCAACAGCGAAGATTAAAGAGTAGAAGTCTCTTGCTCGCGGATTAGAAAGTTCCCCGCAGTTCATAAAGTTTGCAAAAAGTGTTCCCATGGGTAGACACATAAGAAGCGCTCCTATAAGATGACTAATGAACCAGCCGCTTATGTAACCTACAACGCTGTTGACACAAGCTGAATACATTTGGGGAAAGGCACGGGCAACTGTCAAGAAAAACAATGTTATTTCTATAAGAAGTGAGATTGGAGACAAGATGATTACTGCTATCTGTACAGGCTGGTAGAGAGGGAAGCCCAAAATCATAATGACAAGGTATATAATGTTAGAAAGTAATACATCTATAAAGAAGTTGACTCTGGGAGACGCAAATGTGGTGACAGAAGGATTGAGCAAAGTGCAGTCCTGCCCTTCATTTTGATATCTTCTCTCAGTTTCTTTGTCATGGAATTGTAGTGTACACTGATTCATCGACCTGTGGAAATACTCATCACCAGCTCTTTCTTGACTCATCAAGCTAACCAGCTGCTGGTCATTGTTTGTACGAAGTGTGTCCCTCATTAATGCTTCATTGAGCGACAAGCCCAAAACTTGTGAAGAGCGTCGGTCTTCGGGAACTCTTCCATTAGAATCTTCGTCATCATCATCAGATTTGATAGAAGTTCCAGAACAGTTACTATAATATTCCATTTCAATGACATCATGTTTGACTTTGAGGTTACCCTTCAGGACCTTGGGACCATTGTCAGAGCTTGATTCACCTTGACTAGAAATGTTTGAGTCAGAATTGAACATTACATCCGATGACGTGACCTGTTCGGAGATCTTGACATGTTTCTTCCTTTCTTGAGGACTGCTGTGATGAGAAGCATTCATGGTGACATTGATAGAATTGAGGTTCGTGGACTTTTTTCCATGACCACTGGGATGAAGCAGGTTCATCGGCTTTTTCATACCATTTTTACGACCGACAATAAAGTACGTCTTGATACCTTCCAAGCCTTGATAACGTGAGCTTGCATTGCCATCCTCCACAATATAGTGACCAGCAAGAAACTTCAATGTTGTTTCTGTGATGTGGACACGTCCAGGTGATCCAGCTGTTTCCATACGATTTGCCAAGTTTACGTCATTTGACCAAACATCAAACTTAAAGCGCAGCGTACCAACTATGCCACAGAGTACTGTCCCTGTATGGACACCCACTCGCATGTCGACTTCATTCTTGGTGTCCTCATCAAACTCCTTGATCTGCTCCAGCATGTCCAGTCCCATCTCCACACAGTTGAATGCATGATGTGCAGTTGCTTCTGGACATCCAGCGACACAATAATAACAGTCACCCAGAGTACTGATTTTCTCGCAATTGTTGATTTCTGTGAGGCGATCAAAACGCCCGAAGAGATCGTTCAGAAGCCTAACCAATTGCTCAGCGGATTTGTCAGAGGACATCGTGGTGAAGCCGACGATGTCCGCGAAAAGAATACTGACATTTTCCATGCGATGCATTTGAAACGGTCGGAACACCATCTGCCCTTTGTTGCGGCGTTTCTTTTTGCCATTAGAACTGTCTTTGGGATCTTCTTCGGTTTCTTCGTCCAAATGAAGCAGTTCTTTCGCAACAAGGTCCGGCATTACCGATCGTATCATCTGCTCTTTCACCTGTTTCTCGATTTCCAAGTCACGGCGAGCAACGACGCATTGACCGACCTTCCAGAAGGTGCTTCGTTCACGAACCTGGGCCGTGAAAAAGATCTGGATTCCAAACAGATGGATGCACATGTGTAAGATAAGGCGGCAGATGATTTCTAGCGGCCGGTTGCCGCTTCCCTTTTCGGAGATGACCACATCAGAGAGGACTTCATGAGCGACGGAAAACGCAACTGTCATTAGAATGCAGATGTACAAATGAAGCGAGTGGATCATGGTATAAATCAGCATGATCACACAGGTACACATGGAGAACCGTGCCGGGTTCGTAAGAGCCTTCGGAAAAGCGAAAAGAGATAGTTCCATGGTGATCAATAAAACAGACGAGAGCAGTGAAATTAAAGATGCACATTTCTTGTACAATTTGCTGAATTTAGTAAACAGTATCAAGGCGATGACCAGTGCCAAAAAAACCCCGTCTCCGATCAAGATCTCGATGCCTTCATCTCTTCTCCAAACCGCAAAAAAAATCCCCCAAGTGACACTAAGGATGCAGACATACATTAGCGCGCGGACCAGACGCCTTTGATTGTGAGCGGTAAAACGCTGGAACTCTTCTTCCAAGATTTCCGAGTCGAATGAGGGCTTCCACCACTGAGAAGAAGCTCGCTCAAAAAACAAGGGAATACAGCCTTTTTTCGGCCGCGTATCGACCTGCGAAAAAGATCGCTCCTTCTTCACCGTGGCGTACGAGGGCTTTAACTCTACGCTCATCGACTCCGGGTCGGTGCTGATCGAGTATCCAGACCTTTCTTCGCCGGCCATTTCAGGGTACAAGAGAAGACAGCTTGCTTTTCGAGGCTTCCCGGTGTTGATCACCTCTTCGAAATCACCTCGCTAGCACTTTCAAGTCATTTTTAAAGCACTCGGGACGTATCCATCTCTAAATACTATCCTATCTGACGGGCGTACTCCCTTTACAGCATCAGTACGGAATTCAAGGATTTTCCGAGCGAAAACTCTCAAATCCAGCGACTGTAAACTTCATGTGAAGAAAACATACACGCTCTACTGAGGCCTTTTTTTCCGAGGTGGCGTACATCACGTGATCACTAGCTACACGTGATAGCGTTTCGTGTTGTCTAAGTGGTTGTCAGGTTTCCTGAGTTATTTCTGAAGGGTGGTGTTTGGCATAAAAGAACAGCCAGTTCGAGATGCGGTCTATTTTTAGCAAATTCTTCGCATTGTGGTCATGCATGCTAAACCACTTGTACTTTCGACGAAAACAAATAGGCTACTAATGGGTGGTTTCGACTTTCAAAGCTGAATAAATTAAACACCTGGGGTCTGTCTCGCGGGACAAGAAAAAGTTCGAACTAGGCTAGCAGACGAAAATGAAAAAAAGTAAAAGTTTTATCCCAAATCACTGGGTAGAAATGAGTTGATTTTAAATGTACTAATCAACTAGCCAAAGCCAAGGCTCTCAATGACATCTCTCAACAAATTTGAATCTACTAGCTACTCTATCACTTCCCCTAGTTTTGGTGCATGTTGCCTCTTTACGACTCGGGTTGTTGGACAAAAAGTTTGACTTCTGAAAAACCAGAATGACCAATTATAGGTCTCTAAGAAGGACAAGTCCATACAAAAAAAGGAAGAAAACAGTATTAGCTTCCCATCGTAGCCAGGGCAAGGCTGAGTTGTCCGTGTTATAGCTTATTATGGCTCTAAAGGCTTCCGTACGGACCCGGACGTACGAACAGGCCCGATCGCCGACCTGACTCCAAACAATACAGGGAACCACTCCCTTCAAATCAATTTCTTTCTTGACAAAGTACATTTACTCTCCGTAGCTGTGAGATGGCACTGTTACGTATTACTGAAAGAACTATATCATAATATGAATTCGAATGATACTGCTTTTATTTTCTTGACTGCTTGTAGTATAGATGCCGTGTAGATATCAGATTCTAGAGACGCAATACGTTTGTCCCATATATAGTTCTCTAGGATGCGGTTAAGCAGTATATACTGCCTAGAAATTAAACATTTAGTAATTGCGTCTGGGATGATCGTAAAAGTAGGGCAAACAAAATAATTCGCCTTTTTTCAGAGAAATCTTGACGATAGGTGCACTGAGGTATTTTGAACCGTCCCCTGAGGAAAACACGCAAAAGAACCCATTGAGTTTGACAAAAATCTTTGCAGAATATCAAAATTGTTGACACCAGTAGCCTTTTTTAGTCGCCGGTCCAAAATTCGTACATGGCGACTGAGCAAACAAAGTAATTGCTGGGAGTGATAAACAGATACTTACTTCAGTTACGCGAGCTGGTTGACTCCGTTGAACAGGAAAACTAGCCAAAGCGTCAATAAGTACCACTTTGAGGAACATTTGAAACCCTGCATTTTGGAACCTTCAGCATCTCTAGCAGTCAGAAATATATTCTCGAACATTTCCACGAATTGAATGTAAACACTGAACAGCATAGCAACAGGTGAATGATACCTTCTACAAACATTGACAGAGTACGTAGCTTAGGTAATGAGAATTTTGATAACGGTGCGCTGCGGGGGATTGGGAAAGTTGGGGCCTTTACCCAACCCCACATTCTTAACATTAGCCCTATACTGATCTATACTTAGAACCCCCCGGGGGGACTTAGACCCCAAAGTTAATGGTACGGCAGATAAAAACTGATTCAGACCATCCTTTCGACTCGGCTACGGTGTTCTTGGTAAACCGCAAATTTATTCAAAGTCCCTTTCTTTCCGACATTTAACAATTAATTATTGGGCTAGGTTGAGCAAAATATCGTGATTTCATGGCGAGCAGATCAATTTCTAGCCAAAGCCGAAGGTTGAGGCGAATAATTGATCCACGCGGACACTAACAAATTACGATATTTTGCGAAAACCGAGTTCAATAATTGTTTTAACATTCGACCACCAAGTTCGTTTTCATAATTAAATCATTCTCTGATAGCTCAGAGAGACGATCTGTCATGTTTCAGCCGAAGAGCGTGGTTACAATTACTATTGTATAGTCACAACCTCTATTGTTTGTCGTTACAATTACGCATGAGCAGAATATTATTTGCAGCAACGCGTTTAGACGGTACGTACTACGCATGAGCGCGCGGTGGGCTCTCGGCCAATGGACCCGCCAATCCTTATTGGTGCGGTTTTCTGACATTGGCCTTAAATCAAAGGTCAGCTTAAGAAGAACTATTTTCAACATCCTGATATAAAAATACAGCATAAACAGGAAGCGTCAAAGTCGTTTTTTGGCTGGTTTTCATATATCGACGCAGGTGGGCCGCTGGAATCTTGTGATTATCCAGAAGAATACAACCTGAGGTGCTTCGTATTATAGGTAGCGATAGTTCAAAATCGATGATTGGTTGAGGTTCACAGTGTTTGAGCAAGAAGTAAAACGCACGTACACACAAGTTTTTTCTGTTTCCCTCTATCACACTGAAACACCTTGGCAACCGCGAACCACCATTACCCATAATACCTTTCGACATTGTCGCCTTCGCTTTTACCTCCCTGTGGGACAAACTTTCTCCAAAAGAAAGAGAGGAAACTCCATCAGCCGTAGAGGAGCTGCTTTTTGAAACACTGTTTCCAGAGACTATGCTAAACGATTTTACGCCAAAGTTAGAAAGGACAATTTTATTAAACAACTAGATTTCAAAACAACCTTTTGCCCATGTTGTGTATATTATAAACAGCCTAAATATAGGATCTTGTCGTTGCTCATGTTGCAAGGAACGTGTCAAGCCTTCCGCTACAAAGCTTGATGGGACCGGAGAGCTTACGCTTTCACAGGCGGCGAAACTCGGCAACTTTTTGGAACTAAAAACATACTCTTCCACATTTCCATAACTTTGAGTTGGTGAAATAATTTTAATTAAGTTCTTTAACTTTATTAAAAAATACAAAACAAACAGCGGTGATAAACATTTTAAAAACATGCATTTTATGAACTTGACGTTTCGCATGCTGGTCAAAATTTTCAAAAGTATAACCGTATGATACTGTCTTTAACTTTAATTACAGGAATTTACATTTTATGCTCAAAAAGCTACAAAAGAACAGCTACAATTTGTCAACAAAGAACGTGTCTTATAAATCGTGACCACTATAAAAATCGTTGATAACATTCGACTCCTAAATGTAGACTCTAACAGCACCACGGAAGTGTAAGCTTTTTTGCGCAGACGCATTTTTAAACAAAGTCAACGAGTTTGTTTGTCTTTTAATTTTCTTAGAACATGCTCACTCGCACTCACTTATCCTTATCGCCCGGCTGGGAAATAAGGCACGTAGGATACTCTATCGGTCAATATATACTCTCGTATTTTTTTGCCGAGAATTTTCCATATCCTGTTGGCTAAGAACCGGAAATCAACACTGGCGGAAATGACGTCCGTTTAGTGTAGCCCCAGGCCTCCTCTTTGAACACCTGCGATGACTGCCTGATTCTTTTTCACGAGAGATTTTTGTCGGCACAGAAAACATCTTGAAATGTTAGTGGAAAATATCGGCATGATCAAAATATTTTATTCTCATTTTTCACTGTTGTGTTATTTTATGGTTATTGAGTATCTCATATTGTTTTACTTGTGTCTCAGGTCGAAAGTAACTTTCAAAATTACGCTGACTTCGGATCCGAAATTACCATTCAAAGTGTATGTGAAGTTGATTTCTCTGCCGGCACAGTTAAACCTTCTGTTTGAAACGACTAAAAACCTTCAAATCGTTCCTAATATTCGTGTTTCATTCTTAATTAACAGCCTTAGTGTCCCAGAGGGAACGCCGTTCACAGCTGTTCTAAAATTTGCCGCAGAAGAAGTAAGTAATTCAATTTCAGTTTGTAGAAGATCGAGTAAGATATGGGTAAATTAAAATCGTGTAAAGCAAGCTGTTTATGTAAAAGGCAGCTCTTACGTAGACAAATATTGATCCATTTTATTGTTGTTTCCACCATTATATATAGTTCAAGGTACCTCCTGCTACAAGTGCCATAATTACAAACGGTGAGATTTTAAGACTTTTCCTTTTCTTTTTTTTTTTTGGTTTACAAGCTTTATATATATTCAGTTATTGATTGACTTTTCCTGTAAAGCTCATTGAAATGATCGTGGGCGTGTTATGCTTCCTCCAATAAAAATATTATTGCCACATTTGAAGTTAACTTATCGTGACTTATCGAATATTAGTAATAACTTCCTTAGACTGATAAAAAACAAACGTTTCTTTCCCCCAATTCATCCTACAGCTCGAGTGATATCTGCAATTTGACCCCAACAATTTCCGTTCTAATGACACAGCTGTACCTTTTTGGTATACTGGCATCACATCAGGCAAGCTTGGTTGAGCCAGGGTTCATTTTCTTGGGGGAGAGAGGTGAACCAAAACACCTATGGCCAAATCAAGTGAGTCTGATATGCTGCTAAAGCAGATCAAAAAGGTAGAATTAAGTAATTGCTGTACCCAAGTTTGGCCATAAATCTGGCCAAATTAGGTCAGTGACTTGATATTAAATTGCAGATTATTATGTGGTTAGCTCTGCGAGCGGACAAGATAAACCAAATTCTGTACTGTGATTGGCTACCCAGGCAGGCAAGATGGCGATATCTTGACTGCACAGGACTACCCGCAGTGTCCTTCAAGAAACTAATTTCCAGAGTGCCTTATAGTAAATCCTTTATTGACCAATATGGCTGGATATTGGCCTTGTTCTTTTTTTGCAAGGTATATATATGAACCTTGACAATGTCTTGGTCCTTAAACACACAAAAAAAGGACTTGGCCAATATACAGCAATCTTGACCTCACGCTTGGTCAATAACCCGTATATATCAGGACAGTCCCGACATTACTAAATTGATAACATCAATGAAATCAATGATTAGTCAATGGAAAATCAGTTGATTAGTCCTTGATTGTTGCTAATGATCAATTACTGATCAATGAATAATCAATAGGCCCCAAAACGTTCAGTCATTGATTGTATTGAATAGTCTTTGATGACATAGATAAGTCATCTTAAATCTTAGGCTTTACAAGTGCTAATAACAAAACACAGAGAACTGGCTTTGGAATACATAAACACAAAACCATTATATTGTGCCTGTTTAACCTATGATGTCCAAATGACATTGAAATGGCAATGCCCTGGCTAATTTATAATTTTTTTTACAGATGGTATTGGAATAAATCCCTCACAAAGTGCAGGTAAAAACTATAGAATGATTCTCCAGACAATCTGAGATTCCCAAGTGGTCTGTACTGAGGTAGTTTATCCTTTTGCATGGAGCTACTTGGAGTATTTCTATCCCCCACCCCCTGAAAGGGATACTAGTCCATCACGGTTACCCTCAGCATTAAATTTGCCAGTACCCATTTATACCCCTGCGTGGAGAGAGACATTGCAATAGTTTAAAGTGTCTTGGCCATAACATGCTGATCTCAGCCAGGGTTTGAAACTGGACCACTAAACACAGTGTCCAGCCTGGTAACCAATAGGCCTCCGTGCCCCCCAATGGGGATGGTTGAAAAAGTAGGCTATTGCCCCCCCCTCTGAGTAAGAGCCTGGCTATCTTTTACTTGCACTGACTCATTTATGGTTTGTTGAATATACTTATGTTGAATTGGGAGGAAGTCTAATAATGTTATTTTCAATTTGAGCTAAGTTTATAGCAAAGCTGAGACAGGGAAAATACTCTGGTTCTCAGATGTCCATGTTCACAAATTATATCATTATATGAAAAGTGATATTGAAGTTTTAAAAAGAAAACATAGTGAACTTTTCTTTGCCAATATCTGAATTTAATCAGTTTTGGCAACTTGCATGTTCCTTTATTTGCTTCACAGGAAATGTGTTCTTAAAACATGGATCAGAGCTGAGGCTTATTCCAAGAGACCGTGTCGGAAGTTGGCTTATGACATGAGACAGAAGACACTGTGTTTAGACTTGTTAATAAATGGAATTAAAACAATTTTAACCTCATTGAAAAGTTCAATCTTCATGCATTTCACTTAAGGGAAGGCATATCATTGGGTGTAGTAAAGAGCCTCTGTGATTGATCCAAACACCCAGGAGGCTGGTCCCAAAAGTGACAGGAGTTATTGTCACAATCTTTTTGAGGGAACACCAACAGGACAGGGCTGACTTGTTTGAAAGCCAGTTAATGCTAACCCAGTAGTAAAAGTTAACCAAAGTATTAATTTTTCCTGTATAACAATGCTTTTGACTGCTTATGTTTTTATGTAGTTTGAGGGTGCATTCCTTTGGGTTTATCTGGATCAGAATCAGCACTGGTCCTGATCCAGATCACCCCAAAGGAATGCACCCTGAGATTAATTAAGCTCAAAACTAAAGGACAAACAAAATAAACAGAACACCCCACCGAAAATTACAAAACTGAAATCAAAACTCTCACTAATCCTGGGTTAGCTTAATTGGGCTTTGAACAACCAGCTACCAGAATCTTGTTTTACAGGCAGGGCTCAAATTATGTACCCCCCCCCCCAACTAAGAGATGACAAAACAACTGATATTTTCAGAAATTTTAATAGCAATTAGAGACAATTTCTTCCAACACATTCTGTGACAAGTAGTTTCTGTCAAGTTATTTTTGCTGCCTTTAGAAATGCCGAAAAAGGTACATAGGCTCTGGTGTTTTTTTGAATAAATACAGTGATGCAATTAGCCTTGGGAATGATAGTAAGTTCTCTATTAAAATATATAATTGTACTCTGTAATTCCTACTCACTGCAGACGGTCAGTCAATTTGCATTCAAGACTCCATAATCACAAATCCAAATCCAGGGACCAAAGCAAAAAGTCTGGATTATAATTTCATTGAAATGTCCAAAAATAATGGCTCAGATGATCTAGATTAAATTTTGTAATCCACAAATTGAACAAAGTAAAGAGTTACACCAAAGTCGGTTAGCCTAGCTGACAGTTCTGTAACAAGATGACAAAACCTTTGCCTCATCCCTATGTAATTTTGCTATCAACCATGGGTAAAACTGCCAGCAATACAGTCGAGTTAGGAGTTTTTGGTAAGTTTCCTAATTTCCTTACCTATAAAAACCAGACAATTCAATTTAATTCACATTCAATTCAAAATCTGTGATAATTTCTGCATTGGCAATGAAGTGCTACATAAACTGACACTTAAATGAATGAAGCTGATTTATTTTTTCAACTACTGAGTTCATTCATACAATGTAAATCTTATTACCTACAAGACGAAGTAAAAATCTCTCAAATTTAAGGTGTGACAAATGGTAAAATACAAGACTCACAAGGACACCAGGAATGAAGATCCATGTTTGAAAATCCCAAACTGAGAATTAGCCAGAGGCAGGGAGAAACATGTAAATAATAGACTTATGATCTCATCAACAAGGAGTTTAAGATTTCATGATAAGACCAAAGTTTCCAAGACCCACAATTTTCTAGGAACCATTTGCCACGTACCCTTATACTTATGGTCATTAAAATGATAACCAAAATAATGATAAAATTACAAACCGTTTATTCTCAATACCTCCTTGACATTTCAATAAGTATTTTCTACTTAAAATTTAATGAATCTGTGATGGAGTTGCAAGTTTCCGTAAATCTACTATATACACGTAATTTTATGAAAATTTAAAATTGAAGACAATGTAATTATTGTTGTAATGGTGTCATGTCCAAGCTGGTAAATAATAAGACCTGGTGCATTAGTCATCCTGAAATGAAATTAAGAGAGAAAAACAGCATAGTTAAAAAGTTAAAATTAAATTTTAAAAAAATTAAATTAAAAAATATTGAAGTGAAAATTTGGTGGGAAGATTTCCATCATACCCATTCGTCATCATCCACTCCTTCTTGTAGATCCTGGGGCAGAGGGTCATCATCGTAATTCCGTAATTTCTCAACCATGGAGCTTACTAACTGAAATTAAATATACACAAAAATGTTACCATGCGGAGCATACAATATAGCTGAGTAAGATAAGAATAAATAATGGAGTGGAAACAGGGGCAGCGGGGGTGGGTGGGAGGGCTTATAGCCAAGACTTTGGGTAAGTCAATACGAAATAGGTTTTTGGTTCAGTTCTTTCTCAAACATAGCAAGGTCAAGGTACCAGAACAAGCATTTCCGTGAAATACTGAGGCTTGAATGGGCAGCAAGATACATCTGGCTTCCCAAGCTAATAATATTATGCACATTTGCAGGGCTGAAATGCGTGTTAAGTGAAAAATGTTAAAACTAAATTTAATAATTATTCTAAGTTGAGCACTTTTCTTTTTGGAGCATCTTTTTTCCAGGCCTAGAAATTTGCATGGACAGATATTTTTTAATGGTAAGTTGAAAAAGCAGGGACAATTCATGTGATATGGAGCAAGATGTTGTCAAGTAGTAGATGGATAAAATCTGATATCCATTTGTTCAATTACAGAAGTGTTGTGAATAACACTTACTTCCTCTTTCATCTGTTCAGTAGATTTAACTTCCTCCAGCTCGTGTCGACTGTCATACTTCCTAGCAATGGGAGCTTCCTTAGGTACTTCACTCACTGTCAAGTAACCAAAGCATTTAATCTGGGGTTACTACAGTAAAATAAAATAAAAATTTTAACTTTTTTTCACACATCAAATAAAAAATAAAAATAAATAAATAAATAAATATTAAATAAATAAACATCTCATGACAGTGTTTGTACTAGTACTAGTGCACGTGTCCACAAAGAGGTATTGGGGCCTGATAGTGAGGGACTCAGAATTGAGGTATCCAGGTCCAAGAACTCACAAGGGTCTGTTGCTATTTCAAGGTCCCCCTGAGACCATGTGTACTTCTACGGTTCTACATTTTAATCATAAAAATGTGGAACTGTAGAAGCATACAGCTTATAATGCAGATGAAGTTGTGATTAGAAGCCACAGCTACAGAAGAGTACAGTTTAGAAATAATGAACAAAAACAATTTTGTAATTAAAACATGGAGTGGTACAGGGAGGCATAAATCTTATAATGTACATAAAATTACAACTTAAAATAATGTATAGCCGCAAAAGGAAGTATATATTAATAGTTTACAATACAGATAAAATTACAGTATGCACAGCTAAAAAAGAGAAGTCATGATAACACATATTAGAGGTTTTCCTAGTTGGCAATAGCCAGACCCTCCACATTACAGAGTTAAGTGATGATTTTCTGTAAAAAGTCACCAAACACTTATTTCTGTGAGTCACAAAAAGGTACTGAAGACTACACTCCATTCCTGACAAAAACCAAATGAATCAAGTATTCGAAAGGAATGGAAAGCAGACTAAAGTATAGTGACAAATCTTTCAGTTGCTTTTCAATAGTTCATGGACTCTGATCTACCTTGAGCTACCACAGCTCAGACAATTTAAACACAATTTCAGTCTAAAGTCAGGCCCGCTAATTCAAACTTGGTTATTTCCAACTCCCTGTCATTTCCAACTAGAAATCTTTCATTCTGATGGGCCACCATCTTGGTCTCTTGATGCAAGCGAAACTGGGGAGAGTACAAAATGCCCATGGGTAGTGGCGGTGGGGTGAATAGTGTGCCCCTACCCACTGGCATTTTGTACTCTCCCCAGTTTCGCTCGCATCAAGACACCAAGATGGCAGCCCGTCGAACTCAACGATCGACATCTACGATCTCACGGAAAAATAGGGGACTGTGAACAGTCTAATTCTGAAGAGCCTGGAGCTTTTAAAATTATTATCTCATAATTTCTCCTCACAATATCTATACTGTCAAGTGTCCACTGGTGGCGAGAAAAAAGAGATCAAATCATTAACTAAAGTTTACTGCTATGATGTTTCAGGTTCTAAATTCTAAAAATGGCATTAAAGGACATATAAGACAATTAGTGATTAAAAAGTAAAACTTACAGCAAACAACAGAAACTAAAACCTTGAGATTACTCTTTGCAGTAGTGTAAATCACAAAATCAATATTTCATTTTTTTCTCAAAAGCCCATCTGTTGATTCCTGTCTGCCTGCCTGTCTGTCTGTCTGTCTGTCTGCCTGTCTGTCCATCTGTCTGTCTGTCTGTCTGTCTGTCTGTCTCTCTGCCTGCCTGCTATCTCTCTGTCTGTCCGTAGACCTGCCTGTCTTTCTGTCTGATTGCCTGTTTGCCCTATTTTGTTTTAAAAATATAATTGTGGTTTCTCTTTAATTTCTTTAAGCTGTCAGTATTTATTGGACCCTTGATCAGTTGTGCATAAAAAGACATCAAGTAGCTAATGTTATCATTACTTAATGACATACATGGTTTCATGCCATCTGGTCTAAGTGACATGTTTCTTTGTGTTCCATTTTCACCAGCAAACCACTGATCACTAGTCAATGCAGGCTCCCACCATACTCTAGTGTCTGGGAAAAGGTCATCTTGAAAATACTCAGTCTGAACAAGATTGAAGAGAACAATAATATTAATACTAAAAACAGAGTGAAAATAGAAGCCTTAAGACCTAAGCATTGAACTACTAACAGAGATTTTCCAATAGTGCATGTACCTTATAAGATAATTTGGTTTTATCAACTGGGTTGATAATGTGAATTGGCCACTGTAAAGAGATTCAAAAGCTGACGTTTTGAGCATTAGCCCTTTGTCGGAGTGAATTGAGGAATTGTGGGTTGTGTGTGGTTTATATGCAGAAAGATGGAGCTACGCTATTGGTTGGTGCATGGTAACATGAAAAACAACAGAATAAATTAGTTGAATGAAAAACATTCGTTGATACTGTGAGGATTAAGCGTGACAATTTGAAAAATAAATTGTTGTTCTAGAGTTTTGTGGCTCTCCGTGCTTCCTTGATGTAGGGAGAGGCCGCAGACTGCTATATGTTGCTTAGAATGATTGGGGAGATTAAAGGGACACAGTCAGCTTTGGGACCGCCCTGACCTGGAAACTAGTTTTCTTACTTTGAAAAAAGTTCACCTCAACCTGAAATCAAACTACATCCAGAAATCTGCTTCAATCTTCGCAGTGTTTTGCTTGATTTCCAATCGTTTACTGAAAAGCCTGTTTTTGAGTGTGCTTTTGCTCATTGTATGATATTATTTTTATCATATTTGATTGAAAACAGTATGGATCGCATCTCTGTGATATGCAAATTAGCTATGAAATGGTATCTAATGCGCATGTGCTCCAGCTGACTGTGTCCCCTTAAAGTGTCTCACGACCGGTTTAGATGCATTTTTGTCGTCTTTCTCTCCATCATGAAGGTGTTTTCGGAATTGGTCGCCTAGTCGTCTCCCTGTTTCGCCAATGTATAACTTTTTGCAAAGAGTGCAAGTTATGCAGTAGACAACATTGGCTGAGGTACAGGTGAAATGATCAGTGATCTTGATGGATCGCATGGGTCCCGATGCGATAATGTACCTTATACATTACTATGTAAACATTTTCAGACTTTGTCAATCCTTAAACTCTTGCCGTTTTCTACAATTTGTGCAAACAAAATTATTATGTAGCCAGTGGAACCCTTCTCTACAGACAGTCGCTTAATATGGACACCCACTTATTGTGGACATAATAAATATTTGAACGATATTATAAATTGCTCTCTTGGTTTTTTTTTTGCACAGGTGTTTCTGTAAGGAATAAGAGTGAAAAGAAAATATAAAGCTTTATTGACCAAGCATGAAATCTAGATGGCTGGATATTGGCCAAGTTCTTTTTTTGCATGTTTGTGGGTGGAGATGCAAAAAGAAACAAGGCCAATATCCAGCCACGTTGACCAAACAAGCTTGGTCAACAAAGGGTTTACCGGTATTATATGTGATAAAGAACAGACGTTTTTGCAGGACACAGTGTGTAATCCTGAGTGGGCAAGATAGCGCCCTCTTGCCCACTCCGGTAGCCAATCACAGCACAGGATTTGGTTCATCCTGCCCACTCAAGTAGCTAGCCATATAATAATAATAAAGAATACTAGCCTTCACTCGAGGGACCTGAAACATGATCAAGTCTATAGATGTTTTGTTCAGTTTGACAGCTCTAGCAAACTCCACTTCCTTTATGTTACATACTGTCTTTGGCATGAAGGCCACTGCCTGTGTCAACACAGTGAAACAATGCATGGATAACTTGAAATAACTGCAATCTTCATAGTCATGCACTGTTATGTACATATACAGCAGCAAGCATCCTCCAATGCATAAGGCAAGAAAAACATGTGATACAACACAGCATTCTCCTTTGGTTGTGTCACAATGAAAATGTGTTGTTCTAGAAAATATTAATACCACTCCCATGAAAAGTTTTGTAGTTTGACCCC